TCACATTATTCTTCACCAAGGATGCTCTTCCTATCAAACCTAGTCATTTCAAAAGTATTCAGATCACCTAAGAAGCTCTTTTATTTTTTATTGCTTGTGTGGCTTGAGCTCAGGGCCTGGGCATTGTCCCTGAATTCTTTTGCTCAAGCCTACCACTCTACCACTTTAAACCACAGCTCCACTTCCAGTTTTCTGGTGGTTAATTGGAGATACGAATCTCATGGCCTTTCCTGCCTGGGCTAGATTTGAACGGTGATCCTCAGATCTCAAACTCCTGAGTAGCTAGAATTACAGGTGTGAGCCATCAGCACTAGGCAAGAAGCTGTTTCTTACATCCCCTTGCAAATAACTGGTGTGCCTTCTATCCTATATAAATATTCTATCATAGAACCATGATGCATTATAATTATTATTTTGTCAGTCCTGGGGCCTGAAGTCTGGGCCTAGGCACTGTCCTGCAGCTCTTCAACTCAAGGCTAGACTCTACCACTTGAGCCACAGTGCCACTTCCAGCTTTTTCTGCTTATGTGGTGCTGAGGAATCAAACCCAGGGCCTCATGCATGCAAGGCAAGCGCTCTACCACTGAGCCACCTTCCCAGCCTGCATTATTATTTTAAAACTACCTCATGTATGTTATTTGAAGCAGTTGGTGATGAGATCTTGGTTGGTACTTGGCATCCAGTGGTGCTGTGTACAATGCCTCAATCCAGATAGGCTGTTATACAACAGTAGCCAAAACCCCCAAATTCCCATAGCTTCCACAACAAAAGTTGAGCTCCTACTGATCAGGAATCAGATGAGGGCTCTGTTCTGTGACATCTTTGCTCCACAATGAACATTAATGGAGAGTGCTATACAGATCAATTATGATCACTGCAACTGAAGATAAATGAAGGCCGGACAGATTTGGGGATCAACCTTCAATGTTCCTACCTATGGAAATGGAGGTGTGGGTTTAAGTGGTAGAGTGCCAGGCTTGAGTGGAAAAGCCAAGTGAGAGCACAAGGCCTTGAGTTCAAGCCCTAGCACTAGGGTGTGTACGCATGTGTGAGTACGTACATGTGCACACACACAAATGCTTGGACTAGAACTGACACAAGTCGCTTTTACTCACAAATCATTGGCCAGAATCAGTCACATGACCCCATCCCAACCATAAGGGGGTCAGGATGCACAATTTGATCAAGTGTTTGGGCAGAAATAGTTGGGGAATACCAATGACTACACTAATGGCCTTTCACTTCAGCTCACATCTCTCCTGCAGGTAGAATCTAATGCAAAGGCAACAACCCAATTCCTTTTAGCTACAAAATCAAGTTAAAATTTAACAATCTTGGTGATTAACAATAGTTTCTCCATCTCAGATGTCGCTTGAAATGGAGATTTATAAACCAAAAGATCTCCCTGCCCCCATACACATCTCTAAAATACAGCACAGAATACAGGCAGGTAACCTGGGATGAAGAAGAATGAATGGGAGGCATAGCAGCCTAGAGGCTACGATGCTTACAGAGAAGATGTAGTATGTGCCTAGTGCCCCGGGAGCAGGGTATGCTGTGCCCAGTCCCAACTCAGCCAGGAAGAGGATCTCACACAATTGTTTTAAGTTACTGAGATTTTAGTGTTCTTGCCACAGTGTAACCTAACCTAACTTGGCCTTGACTGATACAGATACTGGGATTAGAGAAGAGTGTTACATATTAAAAAGCAAAAAAGAAGTCAACAAACCCTGATCTGTCTGACATGAACTTACATGGAAGATAGCAAAGAGATTGGTCGTGGGAAAAGATGGCAACCCTTGTTATGTAGTAGCAAAGTATTTGTTAGAACTGTTGCCTAGAGGGACACCGAAGTTACTGTGTCTAATAGTCTTGCAGATCTAAGGGAAAGAGAGAGGGAGTCAGAGAGCTGAATGAATTGGCAATTGTGGCCACTGATAGTGGACCACAAGACATAGAGAATACTTATCAGCAGGCTGAAGTGTCTAGAGAAACTGGAAATGGGTGAGTTTGCAGAGTAGGCAGAACAGCTGCTTTTCATCCTAAACTGGTAATGGATAAAACTGCTTGAAAGAACAAAATTCAAATCCAAATTAGCTTTGTGGAGACTTTCTCCACTCCTCCTTCTCTCTCTCCTCTCATCTCCCTCCTCTCATCTTTCCTCTCTCTGCCTCCTCTAACTCCTCCTTTCCTCCCTCCTCCCCACCCCCCTCTCCTCTCTTTACACCCTGGACTTCAGCCTTTGTGCTCCAGGCTAATGCTAGCATTCTACCACTTGAGCCACAATCCCACTTCCTCCTTTTTGGTAGTTAGAGTTAAGATTCTCATGGACTTTCCTGCCTGGGTTGGCTTCAAACTGCAATCTTCAGATCTCAGCCTCTTGAGTAGCTAGAATTACAGGTGTGAACCACAAGCACCCTGTGGAAATCTTTCTGAGCCAACAGGAAGCTGGTCACCTTACCTAAGTGGGTCATCACATTGGTTGAAACCTCATGGTAGCCACCATGCTAGGGATTCACAACTATAATCCTACCTGTGATCTAAGGATCACAGTTCAAAGCCAGTCAGAGAGGAAAGCCCATTGGAGTTCTATCTGCAGTTTACCAGCCAAAAGCTAGAAGTGGAGCTGTGGCTCAATTATAGATCACCACCGTGAGCAAAAAAACTGACAGTGCCCAGGCCCTAAGTCAAGCCCCTGGACAGACAAAAAAACAAAAACAAAAACACCCCCCCCTTCAGAAACACAAATTGCTACATTAGACTTGGTGTTTTGAGTTTATAATCCCAGTTATGCCAGAGGCTATAGGTAAAAGGATCTTTTAGCCATGGGTGAAAAATTGAGAACCTACCTGAAAAACAACTAAAGCAAAAAAGGGATGGGATGTGCCTAAGGCGGTAGAGCTCTTGCCCAGTAAGTACGAGGCCCTGAGTTTGAGTTTGAACCCTAGTGCTGCCAAAAGGAGTAAAACAAACCTTTTTTTTTTTTGAAAGTTTTGCCTTGCCATGTAGACCAGACTGCCTCAAATTCTGCACCCTTGAGCCTCTGCCTTACAAATATTGGGATCACAGGCATGTAACACCGGGCTCCAGTAGCTCATGCCTGTAATCCTAGCTACTCAGAAGGCTGAGATCTGAGGATCATGGTTCAAAGCCAGCCTGGGCAGGAAAGTCTGTGAGACTTATCTCCAATTAACCTCCAGAAAACCGGAAGTAGTGCTGTGGCTCAGGTGGTAGACCACTAGCCTTGAGCTGAAGAGCTCAGGGACATAGTTCAGGCCCAGAGTTCAAGCCCCAAGACTGACTAAAACAACAACAACAAACCTAATCTTAAAACCCTTCCTGTTTTTAGTAAAAGCCAAGCTACTTAGATATGGTGAGCCAACAGAAATAATCATTTGCCTGTCTTAGTATTTTCAGCTACTAGGGGAGGCTGAGATGAGAGGATTTAAAGTTCAAGGGCAACCTGGCTCACTTACTGAGGCTGCTTCAAACAAATCATCTGTAAGAGGTATTTTACAGATAACTGAGAACAAACATAACTGAGCAGTCACTTTGGTGGATAAGACATTCAGGAGCTTAAAAAAAATGATTAGGCCTCCTGGAATGGAAGTCCTAAAGACCAATGGTGTTGAGGAAAGGGTAATTTCTCCTCTCTAGAGATGGGCCATCACCAGAGGACTGAAGACTCATTCCTCAGTGTTTTCAGGATTGATTGCAGGCCATACTTGCATGCTCTGGTTCCTAATATAAAATAGCATAGTATTTGCATATAACCTAGGAATAACTTCCCATCTTTTCTCCCCCCTCCCCCCAATCCTGAGGCTTGAACTCAGGGCCTGGGGATACATTGGCTTAGCCTGTGCAAGGTTTAAATCCCAACACAACACTCCTTCCTCCCACCCTTCATATAAAAGTTCAAGCTGCAATTGGTTGACCCCAGGATTGCAGCTTATGTGGTATGTGGACTCAATTTCAACAGTCTTGACCTAGGTTCAGAGTTTGATACAGGGCAGACCTAACCCGTACCCTCAATCCAGAGATTTGTTTTGTTTTTGCCAGTCATGGGGCTTAAACTCTGGGCCCGGGGACTGTCCTTCAGCTCTTCAGCTCAAGGCTAGTGCTCTACCACTTGAGCCACAACACTACTTCCCAGAGATTAATTTTGTGTGTATGTATGCCAGGACTAGTGCTTGACCTCAGAGCCTCACACTCTTGCTTAGCTGTTTTGCTCCAGGCTGGCTCTACCACTTGAGTCACACCTCTACTTCCTGCTTTTGACTGTAACTGAATATCAGATTGTTCTGAGCTAGGATCCTCAGCCTCTTGAGTAGCTATGATTACAGGCAGAGCTACTTGTGCCTGGCTTCAGAGTTTGATGTTTAAACAAAGCTATAAGCATTTTCCTGTTTCAAAGTTCTAGATGTTAAAACTTAGATCTAGGAATTAAGACCCTTCCCTACCATTAATTTCAAGGGCAGAAGTCAACATGACACATAGTGGAAATATATATTCAACTTTATTGTGTTAAAAAACAAACTCATTTAAACCACATGGTGGCCATAATGCCCATGTCCTGGGCAGACTCAGTCAGCCCACTGCTCCCTTTGGAATATTATATGCAAACACATAAATTCTGTGTTGGAAAAAGAACTTAAAAATGTAAAACAATGTGAACTACATATTGGATATTACACTCCTACCCATCCCCTTCCCCATCTCAAGCCAACTCATATACCTTGGAGATTGTTTTCCAAACACAGAAAAGCTCTCATAGGGGCTGGGAAGGTGGCTCAGTGGTAGAACGCTTGCCTTGCATGCCTGAGGCCCTGGGTTCAATTCCTCAGCACCACATAAGCAAAAAGAAAAAAGCCGGAAGTGGCGCTGTGGCTCAAGTGGTAGAGCGCTAGCCTTGAGCTGAAGAGCTGAGGGACAGCGCCCAGGCCCAGAGTTCAGGCCCCAGACCGGACCACCCCCCAAAAAAAAAAGCTCTCACAGAAGAAACTAAACAGCAAATGAACAGACCAGAAGACAACCATAGCCAAAGGAACCCTGGCAGATATTTACAATGTGTGGTCAAATACATTAACCATTGGCTAAAGCTGAGGCACCACAAGTCCAAGTCCCCACCTCAGAGGTGACAGAGCCACACTGTCAATCAAGGACAGCAAAGCACAGCATCATAACCCACTCCCATCTGTGTATCCAACAGCTTTTCAGGGCAAGGAGCATCCAAGCAGGCCCTTCCCGGCCTAATACCAGTTCATTCTTGGAAAACACTGGTGCCATGAGTTTGTTAGGAAACAGAACACCTGGCTGGACATGTTGATGTCTGTGGTCCATGGTCTGGCTGGTGCAGAGGGAGGTTTTATTGCACTCCTCTAGATGGATGGTCTGGAAGGCCTTTGGGGGGTTCTGTGTTGGCAAGCTGACCTCTGGTGGTCCAGGAATTCTCAGGCAGTGGGCTTGTCAGTAAGCTCTCCAATGACTCCATCAGTCTCACAAAGATGGAAAGCAGGGTCAGCACCACACCTAGCAGGTAGAGGTTCACCATGTTTCTCATGGCTGAAAAGGCCCCACAGAGAGCAGAGGAGCTGCCTTCTGCTTCTGGAGGACCTCTGATCTGAGGAAAGAGAAGAGCAAGGGTTAATCTGGAGCCTTCTTGTCTCACCAGAACTAAGAGATCCTCTCTGATGGCCAGGGAGACTGTTGTGGATCAGTGCATGTTTTCCTACAGCAGATACACTCCCAAGCGTGCTGGGCACCAATGGCTCATGCCTATAAGCCTAGCTACTCTGGAAGCTGAGAACTGAGGTTCCCAGTTTGAAGCCAGCCCAGGCAGCAAAGTTCATGAGATATTCTTATCTCCAATTAAACAACAAAAAATCTACAAGTGGAGCTAGCTATGGCTCAAGTAGTAGAGCACTGGCATTGAACAGAAAAGCTAAGGGACATCATCCAGGTCCTGAGTTCAAGCCTGAATATCCTCATGTGCACATACAGACAGACACAGACACAGACAGACAGACACAGACACACACACACACACACACACACACACACACACACACACACATTTTGACTTTTTGCCTACACCTGTAATCCCATCACTGGAGAGGGTGGAGTGAATCCCATCTTGAAGGATGAGTTCAAGGCCAGCTTGGCTACAGAGTGAGTTCCAGGACAGCTTGAGGTTACATAGATATTGTCTCAAAAACACCAAAATAGAAAAACCAAAGACTTGTAATTCTCCCGAAGACTGTTCCTGGTAAGTGCAATGCACAAACCCAGTACCATAGCACCTGAAGGGTTTTTGGGGGGTTTTTTAGTAAGGGGTAGAAGGGAATAGAAGAACAGCCCCTACTAAGGCAACCTGCTAATAGTTCCTCCCCTATCAGTCAGATCCCAGTTGACTATACACTTTTCCAAAGTCAAAATAACTAAGCGTTAAGTCTATAAAACATATCTGAATGCTTACAGTGAGCACTCGGTGGTCAGACAGGAGCCCTGCCCTTAGGCCTTGCCACACCGCACGCTAAATATCGTGGTTGGAAGGCAATGCTAAGGGTGCTTTGGGAGGGCAAAGAAGAGACGCCCAACTCAGCACTGGAAAGCGTGAGATCGGCCACGGGGACCCTCCTTAGATCTAGGTCCGGGGAAATTAGGATCTGCGCGGACAGGAGTGAGGCTGGGGCGGGGTAGCAGCCCCCGCGGCCGAACGCCATGCGCGCAGCCCGAGGGAGCGGGGGCGGGGAGCCGGGGAAGGGATCTCAGGCCTGGGAAGCCCAGGGCCTCTCACCTCGAGAGGAAGAGCCAGGAGTGGCCAGCTCGCTATCGCAGCTGGCAAGCAAGAGTCCACAGGAAAGGCGGCCAACGAGCAGCAGCGCGGGAGCTCCAGCACGCCGGTCTCGGGACACCGGGGCGCAGCTCAAGAAGCGGACAAAACCAGGCCAGCCAGGCCCCGCCCCCGACAGCGGTAGCTCCGCCCCGCACAGGCCCCGTCCGCGGAGCCTGCGCGTGCGCACTCTAGGCCGCATGCACACGCCTTCTCGCACGTCCGCAGCCACGCCCCCTCCCCAGCGCGCGTCTGTGGTCGGGGGTTGAAAGCGGGTGCGGGGCGGGTCCGGGGGAAAACTGTCTCCAGGAGCGCGCGCTCGGCGGTTGAGTCACGGCGGCCGGGAAGGGGTCGGGGCGTGAGGATCAGCACGGACCGCGTTCTGCCGGAGGAAACTTCTGATGGAGCCAGAACAGCGCGTTCACTCCGCTAACGACGTCGCGGAAGGCCACGCCCCATAGTGACCCCCAAGTCCGAGGGTTCCCCGCCCCCCCCCGCCCGACTAAAACAAAGCTTCTTAGCCAGACCTCGGAGAGCGCACGCTGTCGGGCGTCAGGGCCCCTCCGTGCCTCCCGCGCCTGTGCCCCCCCCCCCGAGCGGGGCCCCCTCGGAAGCGGGCACGCCCTCCGGCCTCCCGCGCTCAGCTCCGCCGGCCAAGCGTTGCCTCGCATAGGAAATGTGCCATTAATTGGTGGGATGCATTGATTGGGTGGCGATGCACAGGGACGGCCTGACCTGGCCCTAGCGAGACCCCATCTCAGCACTCCGCTCGCCCCTGGCCGGGGGCGGCTTGGCGCCTTCTGGGGAGGGGACTTGTGGATCAAAGCTCATCAAAGGCAGGGATGACTCAAAGCAAGGGGCTGGGAGGGGGGTCCCCTGAACCCCAAGAATGGCTGTTGGGCGAGCACCGGCAAGTACTGATCTGTGTGGGAGAGAAAAGTGAGAGCTCCCACTGGCAAATTTTAAAAAAAAGCCTGAGCCCCTGGGCAGCCTGGGCGGTCATCCCAGCCGTGACCTTTCCCCTACTTTCCAGGCTGTCTGGTCTGTCTAGAAGGAAAAGGTGTCCAAGACGGAAAAGAAGAAAAGTTAGGACGCGCTGATTGGCAGGCAGGTAGGCACTTGGAAGCTTCCTAGCTCAGCCCACAAGCTTTTGGTTCATCATTTGATCAGTCTTCGCCCTTCAACCAAAATTGAACTGTCCTTTGAGATAGTCCCACCGGTGGAGAAGTCTAAGGAGTCATCGCAGCACAGATCATAGAAGCAAAAGACTACAAAAGCTGGGAGCCGTTGGCTCTTACCTGTAATCCTAGCTAATGAAGAGGCTAGGATTTGAGGATTCCAGGTCTATGCCAGCCTGGGCAGAAAAGTCTAGGCTCTGATCTCTAATCAGGGGGGGGGAAAAGGGCCAGAAGGGGAGGTATGCCTCAAGTGGTAAAGTGCCAGCCTTGGGTGACCCAAGCACAGGCACCAAATAAATGATAGCTATGGAAGTGTGTTAAAACAGACACACAAAATAGAACGTACACAGAGATACAACTATGTTAGAATGTAGATAGTACAGCACAATGAGAAAAGCACAAGTGTTGGTGAGGATGTATAGAATACTGGCATTCATATATGACTGCTCCAAATGCAAAATGGAGCAGTTACTTCAGCAGTTTGACATTCCCTCAGATGGTTTAACACAGACTTGCCATATCACCCAGCAATCTTACTCCTGAGAACATCCCCAGAGAACTGAAAACATCAGGTCACACACAAAACCTTTGCACAGCCAGGCACTGGTGGCTCACGCCTGTAATCCTAGCTACTCACAAGGCTAAGATCTGAGGATCATGTTTCAAAACCACTCCAGGCAGGAAAGTCCGTGAGACTCTTATATCCAATTAACCACCAGAAAACTGGAAGTGGTACTGTGGCTCAAGTGGTAGAGTGTTCACCTTGAGATGAAGAGCTCAGGGACAGTGCCCAGCCCCACAACCAACAAAAAACAAAACAAAAATCCCACAAAACCCACAAAAATGAAAAACCTTTGCACAAAGGTTCACAGCCTTTGGTTGTAAGGCTTGAATTCAGGGCCTGGGCACTGTCCCTGACCTCCTCTTGCTCAAGGCTAGAGCTCTATAGTTTTGAGCCACAGTGCCACTTTGAGTTTCCTGGTGGGTAACTGGAGGTTAGTTAGTCTCACTGACTTTCCTGCCTGGGCTTGCTTGGAACTTTGATCCTATCTCAGCCTACTGAGTAGCTAGGATTATAATCATGAGCCACTGGTGCCCAGCTACACAGCCTTATTTTTATTTATTTTTTTTAATTGTATTTTTAATTTTTGGGGGGGGTCTGGTTGTGGGGCCTGAACTCTGGGCCTGGGCGCTGTCCCTCAACTTTTCAGCTCAATCTAGCACTCTACCACTTGAGCCACAGCACCACTTCCGGCTTTTTTCTTTTTGCTTATGTGGTGCTGAGGAATCGAACCCAGGGCCTCCGGCATGCAAGGCAAGCGTTCTACCACTGAGCCACCTTCCCAGCCCCAGCCTTATTTTTAATAGCATGAAAAGGAACATTGTAGATGTTGATCAGCTTGTGAAAGGAGAACCAAAATATGCCAGAGTGGATTATTTTTCAGTCATAAAGATTGAAGCAATGCCAGGTGCTGGTGGCTTATGCCTGTAGTCCTTAACTCTTCAGGAGGCTATCTAATCTGAGGATTGCAGTTCGAAGCCAGCTCAGAGAATGAAAGTCCATGACATTATCTCCAATTAACCGCCAAAAAGCTGGAAGTGAAGCTGTGGCTTTAAGTGGTATAATGCTAGCCTTAAAAGAAAGTTCAGGGACAGCATCCAGGCCCTGAGTTCAAGCCCCAGGAGACACACACACACACACACACACACACACACACACAGAGCTGGGTTAGAAGAATGACTCAAGTAGTAGCATGCCAGCCAAGAGCAAGGTGAGCAAGAGCTGAGGCAAGAGCACAAGGCTTTTGAGTTCAGACTCAGGGACCAGCCCACAAAAATAAAGCCCTTTTTCAAAAAGCAAAGACATCTTCAGATAAAGAGAGTTCATCACCACAGGCTCTTATTTATGAAACTTCTGGAATATGTACTTAAGAAAGAAAACTTGAACTCAAAAGGAAATAATGAGAGGCAAGAAGAAATGGTGAATAAATATTTATAAAACACAAGAGCCTATCTAAACAAATTATGAACACTCAAAACTATTTTTAACAATGATTAATTTGGGAAAAAATCAGGATGAACTAGAAAAATTAGTAAACATTTAAGAGGAACAGGGAGCAGAGATAAAATTGAGCCAGTCCTTTTAGTGAAGAGGAAAGTCGATAATTTTAGACTTCATATGTCTTCATATTAAAATGTCAAGAGTAGCTCTTTCTCTTCCTTTCCTTCCTGAATAATTTAGTGCTAGCCAGAACAGAGCAAGGTTCCAGCTGAATATTGAGGTACAGACTTGTAGGCACACCTGCTCAAGAGGCTGAGAGAATAAGATCCCTTGAACCTAGGAATTCAAGACCAATCTGGCTACATAAGACCTGTCTCAAAGCAACAATAAATCATAAAAAGCTGGGCGCTAGTGGCTCACGTCTGTAATCCTAGCTACTCAGGAAGCTGAGATCTGAGGATCACTGTTCAAAGCCAGCCAAGGCAGGAAAGTCTGTGAGACTCTTATCTCCAATAAACCACTCAGAAAACTGGAAGTAGCACTGTGGCTCAAGAGGTAGAGTGCTAGTCTCGAACTGAAGAGCAAAGAGACAGTGTCCAGGCCCAGAGTTCAAGCCCTACAACAGATAAAAATAAGCAAGTTTTCTGCAATGAACAGGAGAAGGATGTACGACTCAGATCAGGATAATGCAATGTCTTCACAGCTAGATTATTTGGAAACATGTTCAATAAATATTTGGTGAATGAATGGATGGATGAATGGCTCCCACACTTCCTCTTGATTCGGAGCAAATGTCATGGTCAGGGATGCCTTCCTCCACAGCCTAGATAAAGCAGTACCTGACACCCGCTCCATCTCCCTTCCTCTGCTTCATTTTCCTTCACAGTCACAACACCACCAAGCCCACCTTATGTTTACTTGTTGATCATGGCTTCCCCCACTAGAATCTAGACTAGAATGAGGACCCAGACAGTGTGGAGAATTACTATGTATCTAACTCCAGAGCAGAGGCTAGAAAATCAGTGCTCAACAAATCTGTACTAAGTAAATCATTTGTCTCTGGACTATTTCCTGCATTTTGGGAAGAGAAAAAAGAATGAAACAGTTTTGAATGACTAATTCTTGGGATATTTTTGGTACAGCATTTTTTTCTTTTTTTAGTTTTTTTTTAAGGGGCTGGGAAGGTGGCTCAGTGGTAGAGCGCTTGCCTTGCATGCATGAGGCCCTGGGTTTGATTCCTCAGCACCACATAAGAAAAAAAAAAAAGCTGGAAGTGGTGCTATGGCTCAAGTGGTAGAGCACTAGCCTTGAGCTGAAGAGCTGAGGGACAGAGCCTAGGCCCAGAGTTCAGGCCCCACGACTGGACCCAAAAAAAAAATAGTTTTTTTTTTTTTAAATTTAATTTTCTTTATGTGGTACTGAGGAATAGAACCTAGGCCCTCATTCATGGTAGGCAAGCACTTTGCCACTAAGCCCCTGGTACAACATTTTAAGAATCATCTCTGGGTAATGCGATGAACTTTTTCTCTCAAATGTTTCCTGTGGGCACCTGTTACTTTTAAAATCAGAAAAGTAGTAAAATTTAATCTTTGTAAACTTACTGCTTAAGCAACATTGTGACCATATGTATATAGAGAAGAAAAACAAAGGGAGTTGATATGGGGAAATTGGGTGACTCACACCTGTAATCCTAGCTATTCAAGAGGCTGAAATCTGAGGATTTGGGTTAGAGGCCAGCCTGGCCAGTCAAGTTTGCGAGAGTCTTATTTCTCCAATTAGCCAGCAAAAAATCAAAAGTAGAGCTGTAGCTTAAGTGATAGAGCATCATCTTTGAGCAAAAAAAGCTAAGGGACAGCACCTAGGCCCTGAGTTCAAGCCCCAGTAACCACTTTCCCCCACCCCCACCCCCAAGCACCCACAAC